CACTCACCTCAGCCTCCCAAAGGTGCGGGATTACAGGCTGAGCCACCAAGCCCAGCTAGGGAATATTTTTTAAGTCCTGCTATACCTGAAGCATTTCAAATGAACTTAGAATGCTTGACCCAGACATTTTGGTGGTATGGGTTATTCCTAAATGACTTATTTATCATTAGATACACACTTGAAGTTTTGTTTTTGGGTTTTTTTAAAGGTATTAGTATTGTTAAGCTAGGAAACCAGTAACGATGCAAGCACTACTCTTCTACCCAAAAAAAGATCACCTTGAGACTGTGTCTCGATTCCACCTGCCTGAGAACTTGGAGCATCAGACTGTTCCAGGCTCTTGGGTAGCATAGCCCTTTAAAAAAGAGAGAGCCATTTTCCGTCTGTTCATGGATGTGACCAATTTCAAAATCATTTCTCAAAATTGTTTTTCACTGTTAAGTAAAATTTTCCCTGAGCCATCCCTACCATCCATCCCCTCAGCCAGTGTTAGAGGATATTTGAGTAGCAGCAAAAACTGACTTATATGTTGAGAGCTCTTCAGCAAGACTGATCCTTAGCTGCTCCATCTCTTTGTTCTTCCGTTGCTGGAGTTGTACTCCACTTCTTAACTGCCTCTGTCGTTCTTCCATTTCCTCCAGCTGTTCCTGCATAAGATGGCCAAGAACATTTCTAATGAGCCAAACAAAAAAACCTGACATCCATTATAGTTTATAAAGTGCTTTCCTGTACATTATTTTACATTGTTTAATCTTAACAGCATTAGTAAGGCTGCCCAGGAGACTGAAGTTCAAAGAAGTTGAAAATCAAGTGACAATACTTTGGAAAATGATGACCTGAAAAGAGTCTTGTCGGATAACCACAGCTTAATAGAGTCCAGAGAGAGTGATCAGGTACTCAGAGGGACCTTTTTTTTGCTTTTTGGAGCCCAGGCTGGAGTCTAGTGGCATGCTCATGGTCACCACAGCCTCGACCTGCTGGGCTCCGGCGATCCTTCCGCCTCAGCCTTCCAAGTAGCTGGAACTACAGGTGCGTGCTTCCACGCCCGACTAATTTTTGATTTATTGTAGAGATGAGGTCTCGCAAGGTGGGTCTCGAACCTGCAGGCTCAGGCAATCTACTCACCTCGGCCTTCCAAAGCGCTGGGATTACAGGCTGAGCCATCGAGCCCGGCCAGCTATTTTGTTTTTAGAGATGGAGTGTTGCTCTGTCACCCAGGCTGGAGTGCAGTGGCAAAACCATAGCTCAGTGCATTTTTAACTTGTGGGCTCAAGTGATCCTCCTGCCTTAGCCTCTCTAGTAAGTGGGACTACAGGTGCTCACCACCACAGAGGTCCTGATATAAACCTTTGATTGATTAATCATATATTATAAAAAACTACCAATTACCTTTTTTTTTTTTTTTTTGAGTCAGAGTCTCACTCTGCCACACAGGCTGGAGTGCAGTGGCATGCTCACGGCCACTGCAGCCTCGACCTACTGGCCTCAGGCTATCCTTCCACTTCTGTCTTCCCCAATTATCTTAACAAAACCAAACTTGCACACAGAGAGGTGTATGAAACTCAGCAACTAAAGGACCAGAATTCTCTCCAACAGCACTAAGACGGTGAAACTAAAAAGTCCCTCTGAGCTGGGTGTGGCAGCTCACTCACCACTGCACTCCAGTCTGGGTGACAGAGTGAGACTCCAACTTAAAAAAAAAAATAGTTGGGCAAGGTGCCCACGCCTGTAATCCCAGCACTTTGGGCGGCGGAGGCAAGAGGATTGCCAGAGCCCAGGGGTTCAAGACCAGCCTGGGCAACTTGGCAAGACCTTGGCTCTATAATGAATCAAAAAATTAGCTGGGCCTGATCATGCACACCTGTGGTTCCAAATCAAAAAATTAGCAAGGCGTCGTAGCGCACGCCTGTAGTTCCAGCTACTTGGAAGGCTGAGGCGGAAGGATTGCCGGAGCCCAACAGGTTGATGCTGGGGTGGCTGTGAGTGTGCCACTGCATTCCAGCCTGGGTGACTGGAGTGAGACTCCAACTCCAAAAAAAAAAGAAAAGAAAACAATGCAGGAAACAAGATAGTCATTATCCTCTTGAACCCGTGGGCTCCCAAAGTGCTGGGATTACAGGCTGAGCCACCAAGCCTGGTCCTGCATCCTGTTTTCATTACACAAAAAGACTGAGTTTGTTGAATAGTTCTAAGTTGAAAAATGAAGATACTATGCAGGGAGCACTTCAGATTTTGAAGAATACTAATACAGGAACCCAATTGGTGTAAATGCTATTATTAGAAGAATTTAAATAATTTGTTCTGAGTCATCCTTGATGTTTTACCTGTGCCACATCAGTCTGCAATGTTTGATACTCTGGCTGAATCTCAGCTTTTCATCAGCATTGTCAAAAGACCGTTTTTAGTGCCCTGCCAATCCTTGGCACCACATAGATGCAGCCTTACCTGAGTGTCATCTGAAGGGAGGTATCTTCATACTGCTGTTGTAATTTCCCAAACCTTACTACCTACCAATCTGTTTTGATGAAACACAAAAGTACATGTTTGGGAAAGCAGTTTATTCCATTAGTGATAAGCTCTGACCAGGTGTAACAGCCTCACTGAAATGAAGGATTGCTACAGTGGCATTAAGGACAGTCTCCGATCTTAATCCTGTAGTGCACCTCTAAGATTAACTTTCTAAAACTTTTGTCATCTCAAAATTCTTCAAAGACTTTCCACTTTTTTTTTTTTTTGGAGTTGGAGTCTCACTCTGTCGCCCAGACTGGAGTACAGTGGCTGCTCCCGGCCACCGCAGCCTCAACCTGTTGGGCTCCAGCGATCCTTCCACCTCAGCCTTCCAAGTAGCCGGAATTACAGGCACGCACTACCACACCCGGATAATTTTTTGATTTTATTGTAGAGATGAGGTCTCACCTGCCCAGGCAGGTCTCGAACCCGTGGGCTTGGGCAATCCACTCACCTCAACCTCCCAAAGGCGCGGGATTACAGGCTGAGCCACCGAGCCCGGCTATGACTTTCCACTTTTAATGACACTCAGAATCCCTCTAACTTGAACCCCACCTGTAGCTGAACCTCCATTATTCTTCCATATGAACATTTTCCTCTAGCCCTGTACTGTCCAGTACGGAAGCTACTAGTCACATGTGGCTCTTGAGTATTTGAAATATTGCTTGTGTGCTCGCTTTGGCAGCACATGTACTAAAATTGGAACGATACAGAGAAGATTAGCATGATCCCTGCACAAGGATGACTTGCAAATTTGTGAAGTGTTCCATATTTCTAGGCCAGGCTTGGTGGCTCAGCCTGTAATCCCAGCACTTTGGGAGGCTGAGGTGAGTGGATTGCCTGAGCCCGCGGGTTCGAGACCCACCCGGGCAACTTGGCAAGACCTCATCTCTACAGTAAATGAAGAAAATTAGCCAGGCGTGGTAGTGCACGCCTGTAGTTCTGGCTACTTGGAAGGCAGAGGCGGAAGGATCACAGGAGCCCAGCAGGTTGGGGCTGCAGTGACCGTGAGCATGCTGCTGCACTCTAGTCTAGGCAACAGTGAGACTCCAACTCAAAAACAAGAAATATGCTAGTATGAGCCAGGTACAGCAGCTCATGACTATAATCGCAGCACTTTCAGAGGCAGAGTTGAGAGGATTGCCTGAGCCTACAGATCCAAGACCAACCTGGGCAACATGGCGAGACCTCATCTCTGCAATTAAAAAAAAAATTAACTGGGCATGGTGGCACATGCCTATAGTTCCAGCTATTTGGAAGGCTGAGGCAGAAGGATCACCTGAGCCCAACAGTCAAGTATACAGTGGCCATGAGTGCTACCGTACTCCAGCTTGGGTAACAGAATGAGACTCCAACTTAAAACATAATGAAAAGCTGAGGCAGAAGAATTGCCTAAGTCCAGGAGGTCGAAGCTGCAGTGGCCATGAGCATGCACTCCAGCCTGGGGGACAAGAATGAGACTCCAACTCAAAAAAAAAATGAAATATTGCTAATGTTAATTGAGGTGTGCTATAAGTGTATAGTATACCTATAGACTTCTAAGTATACACACAAAAAATATGAAATACTTAATTTTTGGTATTCATTAAATGTTGAAATATTTTCTATATGCCGAGCTGAATAAAAACTAATTTCACCTCCTGTTTTTGTGGTCTCACTCTGTCACCCAGACTGGAGTGCAGTGGCACATACCTGGCCATCGCAGCCTCGACCTGCTAGGCTCCTGTGATCCTTCCGCCTCAGCCTTCCATGTGGCTGCAACCACAGGTATGCGTTACCACTCCTGACTTATTTATTGTAGAGACGAGGTCTTGCCAAGTTTCCCGGTTGGTCTTGAACCTGCGGGCTCAGGCAATCCACATGCCTCAGCCTCCCAAAGTGCTGGCATTATGGGTCGCCTCCTTTTTTTTAATGTGGCTACTAGAACATTTAAAGTAACGTGTGACTAGCAGTGATACTTAATATTGGACAGCGCTGCTCTAGCCTGACCAACTCACAGATCTCTGTGCCTGTGCTTGTGTCATTTCTCTCGTCCAGACAGCCTGACCCTTGTTCACTACCTTCTCCCTTCCCCTGCCTACATACTACTCATAATCCAAGAGCCCCAGTGCATGTCTGTCTACAATGGCCCCAACACCAAATTTGTTGTTTTTTTTTTTTTGAGTTGGAGTCTCACTCTATCGCCCAGACTGGTGTGCAGTGGCCGCT